TTTTTTTTGAGATGGAATCTTGCTCTGTGGCCCAGGCTGGAGTGCAGTGGCACAGTCTCGGCTCACTGCAGCCTCTGCCTCCCAGTTTCAAGCAATTTTCCTGCCTCAGCCTCTCAAGTAGCTGGGATTATAGGCACACACCACCATGCCTGGCTAATTTTTGTATTGTTAGTAGAGACGGGGTTTCGCCACGTTGGCTAGGCTGGTCACGAACTCCTGACCTCAAGTGATCTGCCTGCCTCGAACTCCACAAGTGCTGGGATTACAGGTGTGAGCCACTGTGCCCAGCCAGATGCATTTCTTAGATGCAAAAAAATGCTCAGCCTGGCCCAGGCCTGGACATATAGGCCACTTTTTTTTTTTTTTTTTTTTAACAGATGGAGAAATTGAGACCCAGAGAAGCAAAAGTGTGTGTCCCAGATGCAGAGGGACCTGTGGCAAAGAACATTACCTACATGTCCCTCACTCTGGTTCTCCTTCATAGGTACACACAGAATGATGCTATTTCCCAGCCTCCCTTGCAGTTAAGTTGGGGCCATGTGACTAGTTCTGGCCAATGAGATGTGAGTAGAAGTCATGATGTGCCTTCTCCATCCCTCCTTTTTTCTGCCAAGGTGGCCTTGGAGGCCCCTGGTCTAGAACAGGGGTTCACAAACCGTAATGTGCCTGCAAATCACCTGGGGGTCTTATTGAAATGCAGATTCTGACAGTGGGGCCGAGGAGTCTGCATTTCCAACATACAACCAGCCGACGCTGATGCCATGGGGCCTCGGACACAGGCAAGTCCTACACTACATTGGCCCTACACACTTGAGTGGGGAGGAGCTACAGGACATAGCCCCAGGAGATGCTCCTGGCCCACTCTGGACTATTCATGAGCAAGAAATAAGCTTCACTGGGCTAAGCCACTGAGATGTGGGCATTAGTTTGTGATTGCAGCATTGTCTTATGAAAATCATCATTTAGTCATCAACGATCATTGAGTTCCTACCGTGAGCTCCTTGTGTGACCTGGGTGCCTCATTCTGAACAAGGCACTCACTCTTGGGGTCCTGCAGGTGCAAGGTCAGCAGCTGAGAATGAGAGCCTCCCTAAATGTTGTACCCTACATGCCTCTGTCACCTCACCCTGGCCCAAGCCCTGTAATCTGGTGGAGGGAGCCGGGATTTGAAGCTGGGACCTGTTGACTCCTGAGCTTGTGTTTCCTTCTGGGAAGGCAAAGGGCAACCACACTCATCCTGGGCCCTTGTGTGGGGGCTGTGGCTGCAGCCAGAAGACTCATGGGTTCCCTGGGCACGTATGTCCCTCCAGTGCCAAAACTGGACAGTTTAGAGGGAGGGCTGAACCACAGCAAAACAATCAGCAAAGTGGCAGCTCCCACCACTCCTGCCACACCCACCCACGCTGAACTGAGATCCATCCCTCACACTTCATTACCCAACACCCTTGACGATGACGCCTGCTTCCTGATCTGGCCAGGCCCCAGGGCCTCTACTGACAACACTCTCCCATCCTCAATTATCAGAGAGAAAAAGTTCCAAGAAAAACCCATGCTTTCACTCTTGTTTTCCAGGCTGGAGTGCAATGGCACAATCTTGGCTCACTGCAACCTCCACCTGCTAGGTTCAAGCGATTCTCCTGCTTCAGCCTCCCAAGTAGCTGGCATTACAGGTGCCCGCCATCACGCCCAGCTAATTTTTTTTCTTTTGTATTTTTAGTAGAGACAGCGTTTCATCACGTTGGCCAGGCTGGTCTCAAACTCCTGACCTCAGGTGATCCACCCGCCTCAGCCTCCCAAAGTGCTGGGATTACAAGTGTGAGCTACCACACCTGGCTAATTTTTGTACCTTTTTTAGTAGAGACAGGGTTTCACTATGTTGGCCAGGCTGGTCTTGAACTCCTGACCTCAGGTGATCCTCCCACCTTGGCCTCCCAAATTACAGGCATGAGCCACTGGCCCGGCTGTATTTCTGCATTTAAACAGTAGAGTGAAATCAACAACAAATGCAGAGTGGTGACTTTGTCATTTTATGAAACTACTTGGATTTTTGATTTGTATTTATAGTTTTTGAAAGAGTAAAACACTGTGAACAGTGAGTGGTAATGATTTTGTTTGGTAAGTGCACATTTTAATTCATACATGAAAAAGATTTCTTTCATTTCATGATGATTACTGAAAATAATTTTGTCGTGTGAAGGAAGAGGCGTGTTGGAGAGGATCCACCGTGGATGTAAAGTACTCTAGGCATGCTTCTAAGACACCAGCATTTCCACAAGAAGCCCAAAATACAATAAAATTAAAAAGACCCCTTCTGTTTCTTTTCCTCCAGGTTTCTGGACCCCCGTCTCCACCCTGGGCACCTCCTCCTTCCATAAACAATCCAAGCCCACATTTTCATCTTCAACTTCCATTCCATTGCCTCTTCCCCAGGACAGCAGCTGTCGGGGAATCTCCATGCTTACAATCCCCATCTTGCCACTATATCGAGCCACATGTCTTTCTCACCAATTGCCCATTCTGGAACCTTCTGCCATCTAGCTAGATCACTTTGAGGCCTTGGGCTACTACTGATGGAGGTGATGGGAGCCCCAGGCAGCTGAAGACATCGCCTCTTTTATCTTTGCCAAATTCTACAAGCAAAGTCCATGTCTTTCCATCCCCTGCCCCCATGGCTGGAACATCATAGATGTCCCCAAATCTTGGTGGTGTGACCCCTCACCCTTCACAGACATCACCATTTCCTGTTGCACAGAAGGGTCCACTCATACCAGGCACTCTGGCTCCCAGAATAAGCGGGCTATCATGCTATGTCCGACCTCTTGGCGTCGGTACGTGCTGTTCCCTTGGCCTGGAGCACTCTGCCCTCTCTCACCTCTCTTTTCTTGGCTTTCTGAAATGGCACCTCCATCAGAAAGCGTCCCTCACTGTTGGTCTGAGCAAGGGACCTTGCCTGGTATTCCTGTACTGCCACCTGCTTTCCCTCTGTCATCTCCCTCTCTGGGCTTTGTCCTCAGGTTATGGATGTGCCTCCAGCTCTTGCAGAGGTGACCTCAGAGGCGGCTGAATGAAACCAAATGGATTTGGCTTGACCTCATCATCTAGCGGTCCCCAGCAAGCACTGGCACACAGTAGGTCCAGCCTGCCCGAACTTGCCCACCATGGGCCCCCTTCCCAAGCTGGGAGGCAGGCCGAGGGAGGCCCCTCATTGCCAAAAGCAAACAGGCCGCCCAGGGAAGTTTTGCTCTGGGTCACACCCGCCTCTGGGTGGCTGCCAATCTGCCTGCCAGAAACCGCAGGCTGGGCCGCAGCTACCCAGAGTCAGGGCCACAGGGCTTAGGAGACCTCAGGTCAGTTCTGTAAAGGGGGTGTTTGCTGAATGCTTCCTGTATCTGCAGCCCCCCTGGGGTTTGGACAGGGGGTCTGGAGTAGGGCTTCACAACTATAGCAGGGCTAGGACCCTCTTGGGCTGGGAGGAGCTAAAGAGGTCCCTGCAAGCTGTCACAGGCTCTTGGTGCTGGTATTGGCTCAGGCTTACACACACACACACACACACACACACACACACGCACATGGACAGGGACCCCCTTGGTGGCCTTCACAGTTTTACCTTCAGGTAAATGGGCTCATCCTTGGGGCCAAGAGGATAGGAAGCAAAGCAAGGAACGAAAAAGCTAGTGTGTGTGTGTGTGTGTGTGTGTGTGTGTGTGTGCGTGCGCGTGCGTGCGCGCGCACGCGTGTGTGTGCTTGGGAGTGACCTCACAGCTGCCGGAACATAAAGACTCACAGGTCCGCCTTCCAGGCTGAAAGCTGGCTCTGCGGGGGACATGAGAGGCACACTGCAGACCCACCTCCTGTCCTTTTCCCTCCTCTGCCTCCTCTCAAAGGTAAGGAGGCACGGGCCTTGGAAGGCACTGCTGACTATTTGGGTGTGGAGGGGGTGGGGGTGTAAAATCGCAGCCAAGGACCCCCTTGGCAGAATTCCTCCAGGGCCGCACATCGGGCACAGTCTGGGCACCGTGCCTAAGCAAGGCTTCTCTCCCTGGCACCCAAAGAGCTGCCTCTGGCCAGCCCTGCTGTGTGATATCAGGCACATGCCTCGCCTTCTCTGGGCCTCAGCACCTTCCCCAGGTGAAGGGTATACAGTTTGTGAGGCCTCTGTGAAGACCATTCATGATCATTCATCAAACTTACCAGGCAAATTAAAGAGGACTTTAATGTATCTTCATTATGAATGGGGACACTCAAGACATGACATGCTTGGCCTAACTCTGAGCCAGGATTTGGATGGATGCCTAACTGATTGGAAGGTTTATTCTGCAAGGACATCGATTCTGCTGGACTCTTAGGCAGTGAGTGACCTGCCCACTGTAGCTAGAGGGCGACAGGAGACACCTCTGTGGAGTAATGGCCTTATCCCGGAATGCTGCGCAGGACATTCACCAAAGAGCTTGTGGGACATCTCCCTTGTCTAACATGCACAGCAACCCCATAAGGAATTATTCCCAGCTTTCAGTCAAGTGAGGCTCAGAAAGGGTAAGCAACTTGCCCAAAGCCACACAGCAAAGAAAGTTCAGAGCAACAGAGGAGGGCCATGGTGGAGCCCAGAATAGACAGGGCTGTAGGGGACAGGCACTCCAGCCTGTGCCTCCCCAAGCCCAACCTGGAACAAGGCCACAGCTGCTAAGCTTGTCATCCCCTCGACAAATGCTGAGTTCACAGAACTCTGGAATCAGCCCCATCACAAGCCACGATCTCACTGTATTTTTCATGCTCCTTTGAAGAGCACGGGCAGGAGCTTCTCTCCCTCAGGCTCCAAGCGCTCGTGCTGGGGAAGGCTGAGAACCACGCTGGCATCCTGCCCTGCTGTTTGTTCTTCCAAAGGGGATGGGTAGGACGTGGTGCCAGTGTGGATGGCTTGGGTAGTTGGAATAGGGGTCTTGGGGTTCTAGGAGGGAGAAGGAGCCCAGGATGATGAAAGACCAAAGCCGTTCTGGACTCACCATTAGGGTGAGACTTATGGGACCATTCTTCCCTGGTCCCAGGAAGCAGAGACTGCACAGAAACTCAGAGACGTAGTCATCACGAACATGGAAAGCCACAGCAGCCCTCCAAGAGAGAGCTCTAGGTCTTCCAGGCTGGCTGCTGGCTCCTGAGCTCCTGGCTGTTGACCAGAGCAGGAGGCAGACACCTGGACGCACGCAAAATCACTTTGATCAAGGACTGGCCAGGACCTCATTTAATCTCCATCATCACAGAAATAGGTGGTCTCTACTCCACCTGACAGAGGAGAAAACGGAGCTTCACCTCCACATTCCAAAGCTGTTCATCCATGTGTTCAGACACGTGGCAAGTCAGTGGCAGAAGCTGCATCTCAATTCTTGCCCAAAAAACTCCATGTCCAGTGCTCCTACCCCAGATATCATGAGCCTTGGCTTCCCTCCCCACAGATATCATGGCAAGGCCCTGGGGAAACCGAGGCACAATTGGACAACTTGAGTTTGGGTCCTGGATGTCAGCTTGAGCTTGGATGTCAATCCTGATTCTACCTCTTACTGGCTGTGTTACTGCACGCTTTGAGCTCCAGTTTTCTCCTCTTTAAAATGGGCATAATGATGGCACCTCACATTGGAGGGGTAAATGAGACAAGGGCACTTGGCACATGGCATACATATGGCATCGCATGTGATCATTGTTCACTGGAATAGGTCATGTCATTCACAGCCTCTCCTGGGTATCGGGGCTTACAGAGTCCTGCGCCTGCCAAGCATGGCCAGTAGAGGGAGCCACGGTGGGAGCCCAGGTGCACAGCTGCTGGTCTATTTCCTGGCACTGCTGTTTTCAGGTGGGAGAGACTTGAGAGTCACTTCTGCCAGTCCTCCCTCCATTCCCACAAGCCAAGGGAGCTGAACCTCTGACTTAGAAGGGAACCCCAAAGCCCAGACTGTTTCTATGTGAATCACCTGTGGATTTATGAAAATGTAGATTCAGATTTATTATATACAAATTTGGCTTCAGATTTATAGAGGGTTTCCAGAAGCTGCCTCTCTAACAAGCTCCCAGGTGACGCTGCTGCGGCTAGTTCAGATCACACCTTGAGGGCCGAGGAGGCTAGGCTATCGTCTCTAGAATCTGAACAGCCTGCAGCTATGGGACCACTCCCTGGTGAGACAGCCAGGCACCTAGCTCCGTGAATCTGTCTGCTACAGAGTGCTGTCTCAGTGGGGGCCATGATCACATCCTACTCTGTGGCCCCCACCAGAGGCTGGTCAGCCAGTTTGCAATGGCTCCTGGTGGCCAGTGTGGGAGTTGCTGGCAACTGAAGTCAGGTTTGCAGGATTGCGGGTGGCGAGGGCACTGGGCGGGGCAGAGGGCAAGGCAGGGCAAAGGGGTCATTGCCTGCTTTGGAGCTGCACAGGAGAAAGGTCATTAATTCCATCATTCTAAGCTGCAAGGCTCCCCTCCCCTATTTAAAACCCTCATCCCCTAAGGATCCTCCTAAACTCAAACTTGGCCCTCCACAGATGGGTCAACTGGGAGCGTCTTGAATGATGCTTCCTTCTTGGTCCCCACCTTAAATGGGCGGACAGGAAGCCATCAGCACCCGATGTATTGTTTGGCTGTTTCTGTGATGTGGGTGGCGAGGGGCAGGCAGGTCACTTGGGCTGAGATCCTGATCCTGTCACTGTGCAGTGGGTCCCTGGTTTAGGTACTTCCTATTATAGACACAGTCTACCCCACCCTGTGACCTTGAGTGCTCACTAAGGAAGCAGGACCTGGGATGTCCCCAGCCCTGAATCAAACACACTGAGTGTGGCAAGTCCCTGTGTCTCTCTGGAGCTCAGTTCCCCCATCTGTGCCTGGCAGGGGGAGGAGGTTAGACAGGGGCAGAGGTACTGAAAACCTAGCTGAGCTTCAGAAGCCACTGGACAGCCTGTTAAAAAGACAGATTCCAGGGCCCTGACTCTGGGACTTCTGATTTTGTAAGTCCCAGAGTGGGTTTGGGGTTTGCATTTCCCAAGTCTCCTGGCTGATGAGATGTGCATTCAGAGCTGGGAAACCTGCTGAATGGATCCAAAGGCCAAAAACATCTGTGATACTGTTCAATTTGTTGTCCTAAGACAGGTATCCATATGCTGGAAAACGTACCAGACCCTGGCATTTTCATCCTTGGCTTATTGCTTTTGCCTTTCTGTAAGCTCCCAGAGGGCAGGGGCTGAGCCCTCTGCTGTAATGAACAGTAACGCTCATCATAGCTAAGGGCACTGAGCGTCTGCTGCACGTCGGGCCCCGTGCTGAGGGTTTGCTGCACACCAGTTCATGTACGCCCCACAGCAAGCCTCTGAGTTAGATACTTTGAGGAAACTGAGGCTCAGAGAACTTAAGTAACTTCCTCGAGGTCACTCAGCTAATAAGGGGCAGAATTAGAACTGGAATTCTAGTCAGGCGCAGGGGCTTATGCCGTCATCCCAGCATTTTGGGAGGCCGAGGCGGGCAGATTGCCTGAGCTCGGGATTTCAAGACCAGTCTGGGCAACATGGTGAAACCCCGTCTCTACTAAAAATACAAAGATTAGCGGGGTGTGGTGGCATGCGCCTGTAGTCCCAGCTATTCGGGAGGCTGAGGCACGAGAGCCACTTGAACCTGGAGGCGGAGGTTGCAGTGAGGCTGGGATTATGCCACTGTACTTCAACCTGGGCGACAGAGTGAGACTCTGACTCAAAAAAAAAAGGGCTGGAACTGTAGCCCAGAGTCCTTGCCCATAACCACAATGCCATGCTGCCTCTTAGGGCATGCCGTGGGGCTACTGGCCTTGGAGGCCAGGTCTGCATGGCTCTGAGGCCAAGGTGTGGACCCCACATTGCCCAGCCTGGTGGAGAGGTGGCCATTTGTGAGCGTCTCACTGCCTATCTCGAAAGCTGTGGCTGAGTGAGGTCTCTGTCTCTTCAGGTGTGTGCCCAGCTGTGCCCGATGCCGTGTGCCTGCCCCTGGTCACCTCCCCGATGCCCGCTGGGAGTACCCCTGGTGCTGGATGGCTGTGGCTGCTGCTGGGTATGTGCACGGCGGCTGGGGGAGCCCTGCGACCAACTCCACGTCTGCGACACCAGCCAGGGCCTGGTCTGCCAGCCCGGGGCAGGACCCGGGGGCCTTGGGGCCCTGTGCCTCTGTAAGCAGGTTTGCAGGACTGAGGGGGGCGTCTAAGCGGTGGGGTCAAGGCCGTGGTGTCCTGAATCAAAGCGCAGCCCTCCTCTCTCTACCCCGTTTTATGCTCACTTCAGGTACCCCGTCCACTCTAGCCAAGCCTGGTGGTCCGGGCTCCCCACTCCCTTCTCTCCTTTCTTGGCCTCTGCTTAAACCATCCCACTACCCCAGTAACCTTCCTCCATCCCTACCTGTCTGTATCACTGCCAACTTTCAAAGCCAAGTTCAAACAGCTTCTCCCCAGACTCTTCAAACCGGATGCCACTGTTCCCTTCCCAGGATCCTTACAACGCTTTGGGGGAAAGTGCCGTCTCTTCTGTAGGGCATAATATGTGTCCAGATTGTGCTAAGCACCTACTACAAAAATCACATCATCCTCACAGCAACCTTAGGATGGGAAGTACTTTCAGACCCATTTTATGAATGAGGAAACTGAGGTTCACCAGCATTAAGGGACATGCTTCATGTCACACAGCCTGGGACCGGATCCAACAGGCTCTAAGGAACATTTCATTCCGTCTTCTCTGAGTGTGGGAGCCCTCAGAACACTGCTGGAATCCTGGGTTTGCTGCTTCTTCACCAGACACCTGAGCACGTTGCATTCCTCCCCACTCTTCTAGGCCTTGATATCCTCCGATGCTTTGGGGCAGGGTTTTGCAAGCTGGCTGTAGTGACTTGGTGCCAGAGAATTCTTTGCTTTGGGAGGGTGTCCTGTGCGTGGGAGGGTGTCCCGTGCATGGGAAAGTGTCCTGTGCGTAGTAGGACTTCTAGCAGCACCCCCAAACTCCACCTACTCAATGCCAGGAGCACTTCCATCCCCCAAGTTGTGACAGTCCGTCTTCAGACAGTGCCAAATTTCCCCAGGGGGCAAAATCTCCAGCCGAGAACCATCCGTTTAGAGAAATGCAGAGACAAGAGCGTGTTCTTCTTTTTTCCCCTTTTTAAATAATAAGCCTTGTAGAACAATTTACCTCTTTCATCTATGAGCATGTCACACTTTTATAAAAATAAGAACAAGAGAGAGAGAGAAAAGCTCATGAATCATTGACAACGAATCTAACTGTAGGAAAAGCCTTGTTAAAAAACAACAGGCCAGGCACAGTGGCTCATGCCTATAATCCTAGCACTTTGGGAGACTGAGGCGGGAGGGTCACTTGTGCCCAGGAGCTCTAGGCCAGCCTTGGCAACATAGTGAGATCCTATCTCTATCAAAAAAAAAAAAAAAAATTAGCCAGGTGGCACGTGCCTGTAGTCCTAGCAACTTGAGAGGCTGAAGTGAGAAGATCGCTTGAGCCTGGGTGTTTGAGTCTGCAGTGAGCGGTGATTGTACCCCTGGGCGACAGACCAAACCCTATCTCAAAAAAAAAAAAGGTAATCCATGTGAAATGCTTTATTTACAAGTATTGAAAGGATAAGGAGGGTGACTCATTACACAGACTGAGGGAGGATTGCTTATGAAAACGGATCTGAAAAACAATTGAGATAGTAACACTTCGCTTACAAAGCCGTTATTTGCATTCCCCGTGACACGTGTAAACAGCACCCACAGGGTTTATACTTTACACTTGCACAGCCTTTACCACGTGCAAGACACTAGGGCTTCACAAATATAAACTCATTTAATCTCACAACCGCATGAGGTAGGTATAATGTCACCCTTCTCTTATAAATGGAAAAAAGGGGTACAGAGGCTAAGCAACTGGCCCAAGCTCACACAGCTCATAAGTGGCAGAGCTAGGATTTGAACTCAGGGAGCTGGCTTCACAAGCTCCATTGCTCAACTGCCTGCCATGCAGCATATGATTAGTATATAGGCTGTGATTGTCGATACCTTTATTAAGGGACTTTCCTTATTCCATCTTAATTCAGACTTCAAACACCTGCAGGCCATGGGCATACTTGGGTGCCTGGTCCTTCCCGAAACTCCACACCTTGGTCTGGCAACACAGTGGGTGCTCGTAAGTGTTTAATGATTTAAACTGAATTTAG